TCCATCTTACTATAGAAACCAGCTATATGTTTACACATTATTGAACTTTTAAAAATTAAATAATTTTTAGATATGTAGTATCAATTAGACGATTAATATAAATGGAAATAATTTTTATGTAACACATATGACCCGATTAAAACATGATATAATGGTTAATATCGGAAACTTATAACGCAATCAAAATCCCAACCATCATACATAAATATATATATATTACCACAAACAACAATCAAAATTATATACAACCAATTATTATTTTCCTATAAATAACAAATAATAAAAATATTTAACCCGCGGTGAACCGCGGGTCATATCCTAGTTTGAGGCATTATATTTAGATTCCATCATCGCAGAAATATTCATCAATTGGTTATATTTATATTTATTTTACGTCATGAACGGGTTAAGATTCAATAGCATAAAGTCTAAAAATGGAAAATCCATAGTATGTATATTCAATATTTGAAACTCTGTAAATCTGTAATGATTCAACAAAGTTGTTTGTATGTTATCTGCTATGAGAAGTCTTGGTGTAAAAAAAAAAAAGTCTTGGTGTTAGAAAAAAAGAGTGATAGTGCAAGGTTATTTCTCATGATTAATGTCTCATCGCTTTAGCCAAGACTTCTAGATTAAGTTCTGATTTTGTTTTTTGTAAACTTCACATTTACTTAAACTAAATACCCAATATGTCTGATTTAGATTTTTATTGTTGGTGTTCATAAAAAAGAAAGTAGTGTTTGACTCTTGCGGTTCACCATCTTTGATTGTAACCATAAGATTGTGAGTAGCATTGTAGCAATAACAAGATATATTATTTACCAAAGAAACCTAACTTTAGAAAAATGTGGAACCAATGAGGAACAATCAAACTGACGACAAGTTCTTACCCACATTTGTACTTGTTGCCTGAATACGTAATGGGTTTTATGATTCTCACAATTTTAGATGAAAGATGAAGCAAAAGAGAGAGAGAGAGCTAGAGAAAAAGGCGTGAGAGTCTGAGAGAGATGAAAGAGATAATTATTAGAGAAATCTGGTTTTTTCTGGTTTAATTGGTTTTGTTTTTTAATAATCGGTTAAGTAAATAGTAAACCGATGAAACCCAGGAATGTGGATTAATAGATCTAAAACTATTAATTCAGAGAGATTTAGATACAGAACTTTTGCTTCGGGGAGAAATAGATATATAACTTTTGTTTCGGAGATATATAGATCGGAGTCATACTTTGGGCTCTATCTATCGTGATGCGATAGTTCTCGTGGGGAAATAGACCGTTTTCCGAATTTTCATGACCAAACTAAAAAATTCCTAAACACTTAAATGTAAATCACAAGTCAACTGCTGGTTACTTATAATTCTCTCATTTCACTTATATACCTATTGAGGCAATTGCATCTATTCTCACTCAACATCAGACCAATTCATATTTTCACTCCTTTTAAAGCAACCATTGAAACAAGATCATTCCTAACAAATAGACATATAATCGTCTGTGAAGATCAGTCGTTTGCGGAATTTTCTCACGTCAAATGATTCTGGCACTCTTATTCACAAAACCCACAGAAGCTGTAACACAACAGTTCACTCTGTAGCTATGTTCAATGCAAGAAGTGGTTCAAGACAGTACCCAGAAGAAAGATCACAAGCTAAGTCTTTTATTTCATAGAAAGGCTAAGATAATGTAAGATTATTTACATGATGTTTTTATGGAAAAAGGCTTATGAGAGCTCACTCATACATCAGTCATCATATGAAATGTGAGGGTTGGTGACACAACCTGGTGCATTAGGATCTTCTGCGCCGCAACAATCGTAGAACTTGGCTGCATACGGTGGATCCTCTGGTTTCAATTCATAGTACCTTCATTCATTGATGAAAAACAAGTTTTAGTTGATAGTACAAGTAGAAGCCATGATTTGGAATGAATATATATTCAGTTTGGAACACATAAAACAGACATGAAATAACAAATCTCAAGAACCAAGAACCATGAACACCAGAAATATACTCATTCGTTGCACGTAACAATAAGAGCTCATCAAAGGATACTTAGTGCTTGCTATGTTGGTACTACAATGTGTGGAACAGAGAGAACCACAAACAGAGGAAGTAAGTAAATAAAGAAGGAGCCATAATGGAACAGACTCATACAATCCTTCCTAGTCCAAAGTTTCTTAATATAATAAAACAAGGAACATAGAATCAGATGATAAATCTCTAAGCTGTATTCTTCTCCACTCTTTATTTATGCAATTAACCGTCGGCTAAAGTGTAGGCCAATAGACAGCTTGAAAACTTGTCGAGATCATTTCTTATCCTTAGTCTCGAAGTTTAAGAGTGATGACAATCATTATACAGCTTCATGATTATGCCTAAAGCTCAACTATCTCATTTTAACTTCGAATTAATATTACAACAAACCAGGATTTGGTAAACAAACTTGATGTAAAGAGTTTGAAATGGACAAGGCAAATATAAACAGTAGCTTGTTAAATCTGCAAAGAAGGCTAAGAGGTAGTTTCAAATCAACAAAACATGACCTTTGACCCTGATGATGGAACAAATAGCCATTGAAGTTTGATGATCAGCTATCACTTCACCACTATCGGGTACAGATAATTACCAGAATCTACTGTATCTAACTAAATTGGCTATAGATCCAGAACCTTGATACAATAAAGTGGATTGCTTTCAAAACCCATTACCAAAATATGTGCTTTGCCATCAAAAATTAGGGAATCAAACTGTTTGGGATGTGAATTTCTTCATTAGTGAACAGAATTAGGGTTTTTAGGAGACGTAACCTTTTCTGGTCATCGTGACGACGACAAACAAAGAAGGAAGGATGAAAACGGCAAGAGGAAGTGTCGTTTGAAGAATCTGTGTAGCTTTTTTTGCACCTTTGGCACAACTTCTCCATTTCCTTCGTCTCCATTGTTGATGAACACTGAAATCAAATTCTAATTTCTGTGGCAGCTCAAATGGATCGAATTCCGGTTAACCGGAAGTTTCGTTTTGGCTTTTTTTTTTTTACCGGTAAATCAGTAATCTACGTTTTAGCCGATGATGAGCTGTTTTTGTTGTGATTGACTTATGGGCCTTAATGGGCTTATTGGGTTTAGTTTATTTTTAAACAAAAGAGCTCAAACTTTTTGTTAAATAAATTGTGTTATTACAAGAAAAACGTTCCGTAGCTTAATGATTTTTGAATATTTTTAACACATGCATCAAATATAACATACACATGAAATATAAATGTTTGATAAATATTGTGAATGGTAAAAATAATAGAATCACATAATGAAAAATAGTATACTATACATAATCTAGTTTAATGAAATTAGTTGTTTGAACAAAAAAAAATTCGTGCATCCTTCCATATTTATTACTAGGTCCGGACCCGCACATACGTGCGGGGTTTTATATTTTGAAAGATGCGGGTTGAATATTTTTTGTATAACGTATAGTGAAAACGGGTCTAACATTTAGTGTTGGAAAACGTATGTATGGGGTTTTTTGTTTGATTGGTTAAAAATATTGGAAAGAATAATTAGTAAGAATTTAGTAATTTTGATTGGTGAATGATTGGATATCTTGGTTTGGTTTTGTTGAATTATTGAGAAAGTTGCAAAATTGGTTGTAATATTTGTGAAACGAAATTATTATTCTGAGTTTTATTGTATATTTTTATTTCTTAAACTAAAAAATGATTTGTTTGGTGAAATAAAATTATTGTTTGTAATTTGATGCATATTTCATAAATATAAATGATTATAATTCAGATAAAGGCCCGTTAATGATTCCCCTTTTAATTAGGATTGGGCTGGATTTTTGATAGACCCATTTAGAGATCCATGGTTTCGTTTTTGTTTTTTAATACAGAATCAAATGTTTTTTTTTTCTTTTGGACAGAAGTGATTATAGCACGATTCTTTGTCTTATGGTCTTCAAAGAATGAATCCCTAAAAATCAGAAGCTTTTCCGATTTCTCAATCAATGTCAAAAGTTTCGATCATCAATCGAGTCTCTGTACATATAATTTCCATATCAGATTCGGAATTTCTCCAAAGAGGTAAGGTTTTTAGAGATTCTTCTTCAATCAATCTATTTTTATAATCTGTTGATTCATTTACAATCTTTGTAATTCTGTGTTTCAACAGAGATCTTGGGCTATTACTGTGGGTATACGAACTTGCATGAGTAAGTATTTTCAATTATATTTGTTGTTTAGATCCGTAATTGCATGTCTATAATTTTTGTGTTTATTCGGGTAACTCTATCTATTATCAAAATCTTCTATGCGTTGGAGTGAAAAGAGGCTATAATTTGATTTTGTATAGATTTAGGCAATAGATTTTGTTTCCTAATATTTAATTTGTTCCTAAATTGATTTTAGATAATGATTGGATGATGATTTTGTCTGAGGAAGACGATTTACAAAGTTAAGCTTTCTATTACAGCTCTTACATAACAAAACAATGTCTTAATATATATGGTTCTGATTTTACCAAATACAATGTTTACAGAGAAAGCAAAATATTCGAGTTGATTTCAATCTGAGAAGACAAATTTGATGTCCTTTAGTAGCCATAACGGAATCTGGAAGCTATTTTAAAGGTTAGATTATGTAATCTCTTTCTGAAATTGTAGAGTTGTTATATAAAACATATAGTTGTCAATCTATACTTTTAAATATTGATATTGCGTAGCTTAACAATTATGAGTACAATATAGTTTTTAGAAAACTTACTTAAATTTAGGGAATATACTAATTAAACTTTTTATGGAAAACAGAGTAAAATAGAGATTAAATACAAAAGAAACAAATAGGGTAGGTTTAAGTCGATTACAAAAGGAGTTTTCCATACCTCCAAGGAAGTTTTTAAAAAGACAGAGTTCATCTCCTCTAAAAATGTAAAAAGAAACAACATAAACTAAGAGAAACTGAAGTAACCTTGCAAATCCAATCCCTCCTTCCTTCACATGTTAGTTCTCATCAACCATCTCCATCATCACATCCTCTTCGTCACTTGATCCATCGTCGAATGATCGCCTGCAAAAAAACATATGCTTTATGTTTACCTAGGCTATGAATCTCAACCAAAATATAAGCCAATTATAAGAGAATTTTTAACTTACAGATAACTTGGAATGTCAAGTTCATAAAAGATTGGATCAATGTATAGACGTGAACAGCCATATTCACTCATTAAAACATTGTTTCCTATAGGAAAAAAAAAAGATTCAGTCAATGTAACTAATAAAATTGTAAAGTCAGTTCATAAAACTATAATAAGAACCAACCACAGTAAGAAGTTATTCTCCAGAAACGCAAGACTGCAACAATCTTATCATAGTTGTAGTTTATTCCGCTTATTTTCTGAGACCAAGTGTTCACAAAGAACTCACACCACTTTCCCACAGCTACGCATTTTATTGTCTCCCCCCTAGATTAAAAGTTTAATTTCCAAACAAAAGAACAGTCAATCCAATTTCTTAAAGTAATTTAAGAACAACCATTGAAATTCTGTTATAGAGGGTAAACTAAACTTACACATTATTTTTAATTTTGAAGCAGACATAGCGAGATTCATAGTCTGTTTCTCCTCTGCGACACACATATGGAAACCTTCCTATGGTGGAAACAGCAGAGATAACTCCCATAGCATCTAAGTAAAAATTAAAGGAAAATGGTCATATAAGTCTTCATATATAATAAATCTTGGTATAAAACATTTAATTTCACAAATTATTACCAAAGACAGAGTTTTTATCATCTTCATGAGCATTTATGACAGTATCAGGCCAAACAAAGTTCCAGTAATTGTTCCAAGACTTAGATCTAACAGGCCACATGGTAGTTCCACTCAAAAACTTAACCTGAAGTGGCATAGTTGAATATCTGACTTGGTTTTTAGGTATGATGACTTGAAAGTCAGTCATGTAGTACCAAACGTCTTGTTTGAGTCCTCGCTGAAAGTTCCAGAGGTAGTAACCTTGTGGAATTGTTGCGTCCATTAAATTCCCCTATACAAAGGAAAGAAACAAATTAGATAAGTAGTTTTTCAACCCTAGAACATGATTTTAAAAAGGTGTAAAACAGAACAATAGAATTAGAAACAAACCTTCTCATCTGCGAGAATCATTGTAGTTAGATCACCATTGAAAGGAGGATTATGATGCCAGATACTCATTATCTTAACACAAACCCTCCACTTTGTGGAATGTCTTCGCAAATCAGAGAGAAGGTGCATTTTCTCCATAGTTTCTAAAAGATTTTGTTTTGCTTTCAACTGGGAAGATATCTCTGTAAATCTAAAATCTCTCAACGCATATATATAGATATAGATATATTGGTTAAGAGACGCAAAGGATTAAAATAAAAAGAAAAGGAAACTGAATCGTTAATAGAATATATAAAATATAAAAATTTGAAAAGACTGATGCAAATCATTGCTAATTATTACAAAAGGATACAGTTTACATTTTTCAAGATACACCCAACGATTTAGATTTGCCTAGATTGTATAAACCGTCAAATATGGAAGTTTCTTTAGTTTTTGTTATTCATGATAGATTTTTTATATAATAGATTATATATAAGTAAAATATATAAGTAAATATGTACTTAAATAATAGTATCGATTTTTTGTAACAGGATCTAGATTTGCCTAGATTGTATAAACCGTCAAATATGGAAGTTTCTTTAGTTTTTGTTATTCATGATAGATTTTTTATATAATAGATTATATATAAGTAAAATATATAAGTAAATATGTACTTAAATAATAGTATCGATTTTTTGTAACAGGATCTAGTTTTTGCTATTTGTTAGTTACAATTATAATGGTACTGATGCTAGATAATTCTATGTTTACAGACCAGGCAACATCTTTAAAGAAGGCAAATGTGAAAGCAATGATAAAGCCAGTCCAGCTTCTGAAAGCACTGATAAAGGTTAGTGAGGTCTAAATGATTCAAGAAGTATTTAGATCCACAATTAAATATGAAGTTGTCGTGATGTGTTAATTGTTTTTCGAAAATGATTTTACTATATTCTCTGTTGACATGTATGTTAAATTCTGCAATTGGTTGATAAGATATTAAAGTAATACTACTTGTTTATATGAATTAACAGAATATTTAGATTCTGTATATGTTTTTTGAATTAGTAAACTTTTAATAGTTTACCTTTTTGTACTTAATATGATTTAAATGTAAATGAAAAATTATTTAAAACAAAGTTATGCTGATATTAATAATCAAAATTTCTGAATCTATATTATTAAAAGAGAATTGAGAGAATAACAGACCAAGTTTGGTAAAATAATCTCTTCAATGGAAGTCGTAGATTGAAGAGATTACTACCAAATTTCCATTTCCATACCAGCTTCTACCTGTTCAGACAACCAATAAGAAATTAGTAAAGTGTAACAGGTGAAAATAATAATCAGTTTTTATTGATTGTTACCTCTTAAACCAAATGTCTTTTGCAATGTGTAACCTTATAGGTTCTGAAAGACTTCCTTAAACACCACATTCAACGTTTCCTTGTGCGGCTTTCCTTCTTTGTCCACTATGAGTATCTTCAGTCCTTTTTTTGAAGTTACCCTTGAGATAGCTACATAGAGTTGGCCATGAGAAAAGCATGGCCTTGGTAGATAGATGCCAACCTTATTCAACGATTGTCCCTGGCTTTTATTAATGGTCATAGCAAAAGCAACTGCTATTGGAAGTTGTCTTCGACGCATTTTAAAAGGAAGTTTAGTATCAGATGGAGATATCAATATCCTGGGAAGGAGGACTTTATCTCCGACTCTATCACCTGTAATAATGACAGCCTCAATGACTTTATCACCCATTTGTGTTATTTGCAGTCTAGTGCCATTCATTAGCCCTCCTCTTGGATCTAAATTTCGTAGTAACATCACAGGACAACCAACTTTCAACCTTATACCATGATTTGGCAATCCAGATATCTTTAGACCGTTCAAAAACTCTGATGTCAACACGGGATTATTTGTACCTCCAATATCAGAAGGATCAACAGAATCTGAACTTAGGTATAGTTGTTCATCACCTACAAATAATTTAAAATGTCTTTATAATACATCATATCTCAATGAAATGCCTAAAATATTAAGAGTAGTGGAGACTAACCTTCGAGTTGATCAAGCATATAATCGTTGACAATACCCACATCTTCATTGGTAGGACATAAAATAGCCCTTTGTTGGAAAAATACAGGATCGGTTTCATCCTTCAATAACTTAGGATCTCCATAAACTTCCCTGCTTATTGCCTCAATTGGATTATCAGCGTTTGTGATCAAAAACTCTTTTGGAATTTCTATCATCACTTCTCCATCATTAGGCTGTGCTATCTTACCATCACCAACTGCTAGAATCCACTCTGAAAATTCTTTTATATCCTTAGCCTCACTTGGACTCAAATCCTTTGAAAGTAGCCTCATATTTTTCGTGAGTTTCAGAACTTTGCAATGATTCCAAAGATAAGAAGCATTAAGTGCAGCCATACAAATTTCTGCTCTCGAAGCACCATGTATCACAGGTAGTACTTGTCTGAAATCTCCACCAAAAACAACTACTTTGCCACCAAACGGTTTGTTTCCACCACCTTTAATAATGTCTTTGAAACTCCTATCCATAGATTCAAAACAATGCTTACTCATCATTGGAGCTTCATCCCAAATTATCAAAGACGCTTCTTTTTCGTGAGTTTCAGAACTTTGCAATGATTCCAAAGATAAGAAGCATTAAGTGCAGCCATACAAATTTCTGCTCTCGAAGCACCATGTATCACAGGTAGTACTTGTCTGAAATCTCCACCAAAAACAACTACTTTGCCACCAAACGGTTTGTTTCCACCACCTTTAATAATGTCTTTGAAACTCCTATCCATAGATTCAAAACAATGCTTACTCATCATTGGAGCTTCATCCCAAATTATCAAAGACGCTTCTTCTATTAATTCTGCCTGATTTGAACCTTTCTCAATATTACATACAGTGAAGTCGTCTGGATTTATTGGAATACCAAACCGAGAGTGCGCTGTTCTCCCACCAGGTAACAATAGAGAAGCAATGCCGCTGGAAGCCACATTTAGCACAATAGAACCTCTAGATCTTACAGAAGCTGAGAGTGTCGTATATATAAAAGTTTTACCAGTTCCACCAAAGCCATAGACAAAGAAGACACCTCCCTTGTCATTATCAACAGCATCGATGATCTCTAAATAAACACTCTTCTGCTCATCTGTCATTTTCTGCAACGATTCTTCAAGTTTTTCCTTCTGTTCATTGCTATCGTAGCTTTTTTCATCAAGTATCAAGACATTACTATCATCAATTTCCTCATCAGGTAACTGTGGCATTGTTCTGAAAGCTGTTAGAGATGTTCCATTGCTTCGTAAGATGCTGTTGATTTCTTTTAAAGCCAACATCTGTTTTTGCTCGTCCGTAAGTGTTAGTTCTGTGTCCCAAAAATATGTAAAAAAACAGTGTTATTTGTAAGACAGAATAATCATGACAAAAACTACTTAAAATTGTAAAGTAACAACTCTTTAAACCAACCAAAGAGACTAAATTATTTGATCAAAAATTACCTGGTCTTTTAAAGTACTCTCTCCTTTTTCTTTCGATGTCTTCTGATAGAAGTTCCCATGTTTTTTCCCAAACAACTTCTGGTTGAGATAAGCTGGTAGACTGGAGCATTACAACAAACATACAACGCAAGTAGTTTCCAGTAGCCCAAAAACTGGTTGTCTTTATTGTATCAATATACTCCTGGTCATCGTCAAGCAAACCCAGAGCATAACATGCCTCCTTGAACGATTTGTACACCACGCCATTCACTGTTTTGATGTCTTCGAAACTTTCAGGTCCAGTTTGATGATTTAGAAGCACTCTTAAATAATAACCTTCCTCATAAATAAGTGGGACATAATTAATCCTTCCGATTGTTTTCCCTGGTCGTTTCCTCATATTGAAAGTTCTTGTTTTACCATCCCAAGTATAATATTCCGGAATCTGAGTATATGTTAGATCTTTGGCTTTAGGACACCGCTTGTTCAATTCAAACCAAGCAAGAAACATCGAATTCTGTAATTCTGATTTTTTCAAAACTGTTTTCACCTCATCATCACCTTTAAAATATAATAGTTGTTTGCCTGGTAGATGGAAGGATAATCTTTGAACAGACGTTGACCTATAATGTATAGGATTTTTCAAGATTCTCCATCCAGCTTCACATGCTGATACATATCTGATACAATATCATAAAACATGTATTAGTTAGAAATGAGTTAAGCATCTAAACTATTTACCTAAATCCAAGTAGATTTTATACCTGCAATTAAAGAAGTCTTGTATTTCATTTTTACTTGTGCCCCCACTGTTTGAACTATCAGACTTCTCTGTAGTAGTTGTAGTCTTTGTAGACTTTTCATTAGGCTCAACAACTACTGAAACTCTGTCCATCCCTTTAGTGATATACTTGAATAAATACTTGATAGAGCCAGTTTGGTTACACCACTCAACATTAATATGAGCTCTGTAGCGAAGCAGCAACTTCTTGTTATAGGGTATAACATATCCGTTGTCACACCTAAATCCACACTTCTCCACAAACAGCTTTGTCTTTCTTCTTCTGTACAAAGGGAAACCTTCTTTATCAACTTTAGTATGTTCTCTAAGTTTTTTTGGGAAAAACTTAGAACATTTCCCTTCAAGCATACATGGTGAATTCTGGTTGACGACGCCACATGGTCCATGAATCATCATGTCTTTTACGACCTCATAAAGTTCTGGTTCTTTAGTCTTGTCAGGAATTTCCGCAGAAATGATTTTATCAATGTCTTCTGGTTTTGGAAACTTAGAACTTGGATGCATCCATATCAATATATGTGCATGAGGAAGACCTCTTTTCTGGAACTCAATTGTATACATTGCTGCGAGAACAACATGAGATAATAATATTAGTTAAACGACATTTAGAAAAATAGCAGAGACAGATAATTAAATTATAGACTGTTAACGCAACTATTAAAATAAATCACTTACATGAAACAGTCTTCCCCAATATATGTTTCTTCGTTAAATCATCCATTAGAGAATTCAGCTTCATTTTGAACATTCTGCTTATGATCTCTGGCCTATCATCGGAATTACAATTTCTCTCAGTACAAAAGCTTACCAGCTCAGGCCATTTTGGATTGCATGTGAACGTAATGAATAGGTCAGGAAATCCATAATGATTACATGTAGACATTGCATCCATGTACATGTTCTTCATGTATCTTGGCCCACCAACAAAAGTAGCTGGTAGATAAAATGCTTTTCCTTCTTCATTCATATCTGTCTTTCCTGCTGTTGCCGCCTCTTTAACTGAATCATAGTTAGTAGCTCGTAAACTTGACTGATTCAGTTTAATATATTTGAGCCTATTAGCTTCAATGGTGGTATAAGCATCAACCAAGAACTGCTGGTACAACCGTTTTGACCTTAGCAGGATACTTTGTTCATTCTTTCTCTCTTGTATACGATACGCATACCATTGACGCAAACTTATGCAATCATTCTCCTCAGTTCCTTCGGGCTTGTTTTTCTTTTTACCATGGTTATTCCCTTTCTGAATACCTGTCCTATAACCATCTTCACCCTTTGGAAACAATAGAGGGTATTGTAGAGCAAGATAACATGGTTCTATTTCACTGATTCTTTGTAAATACCCAGATTTTTCTTCAATAATAATGTCACGACTTGGCATACCAATGTGAAAATCACCTGGAATCAGCGCTGCGACCTCCGAAGCTGTTGGCACTGCATATGTTCTTCCATCTTTGACACGGTCACTCACTATTTTCATATGAAAGCTCTGTTCAGGATTGGTATTAAACCTATCACGAGCTTGTCTAAAATGAGCAACGTATGGATTAACTTCATTTAGCAGCTTTATTATCGCCTCAATTATTTCTTTTCTCAACTCTGACTTCTTCTTATATTTCCCAGCAGATTTTCCTTTGCTGAAATATTAATTTAGTTAGCAACGACACTAATACTTACAGAAAAAAACACAAAGTCTGGATACTGTGATGGCTTGTTTTGAGTTAGAAAATGTACCTTAAAATTCCTGCTCTGTTTTCAACTTCATTCTCTGTGTCAACTATATATAGCTGACTAAACTTAGGAAATTCACCTTCTCCAGGTTTCAAACTTCCCATCTGGTGGTAATTCTCTCCTTGTATCTGAAACATATTAGGACCCCTTCCCGCTGTAACAGAATTATCACACTTACCCCCAAGAGAAGTAAATGAAAAAATCATGTTATATGCTCGGATGTTCTCTCTAAAGTGTCTACTCATGTCATCATCATTGCTTAGAAAAGCAAATAACAGTTCTGGTTGATTATGGAGGAAAGGCAGTTTCACAGATCCTTGCAGACAACATTGAGTAAAAATTGGTTTACGAACTTTCTTATGTCTGTTGATGCGTTCGCCATACCACATAATAGCACCGCAGTAGGAACATGAGTAGACAGGATCTCCATGATCTAGATACTCTACAATAACGGGAATAAGTTTAGCATAAGTAAAGTTTGTGTAAGAAAAGAATTAGAAATAAACCAATGATGTAGTACTTGTGTTTTTGTTCTTTCTGCTAGAAACATTAGGAGTTTTTATTTCTCCAAAAGCTTTGGTCAAACTTTCATCTAACATTGATAAAAACTCATATCTTTGTTTGACTTCGATTGGGATATCGTCTATGGTTTCATAATCTTCAGATATTTCTGAATCATTTTCATCTGGACTACTACACTCGTAAACCTGTTCACGTGTTTCCTCCAAATCACCTATCATAGTTTTTTCCCCTGATTAGTGGATGCTTTATTAAGTTTAGAAAATATATCATAATGATTTTTACTTACTCATATTAATATATGTTTCTTCCTTTGAATTCAGGATCTCATCAGAGTCTTCTTCGATTGTTGTATCATAACTCTTGTCAGATGTTTTCTTCTCCTTTGCCAAAGACTTTGGGAACCTCAGATTGATTCTTGAATTGGTAAGTATAATACCCTTAGCAGCTTCATGAAATAAACATTACTCCATCAGTGTTGATCTATCAGGTCTATTTTTTATGTAATAGTTTCATATTATTGAGAGGCATGTATACCTTGTTTGCTATTAACAGATGGTGGACTCCACTTTTTCCCCTTTTTTTCTGGTGGCTTATGTGGATTAAGTGGAGTTTGGTGAACCTCGCTGTGAAGCTGTGATGTATTAATAATGTTCTGCACATCTTGAAAAGGTCTTCTCTGTGTCCTTGCTGTTTTTTTGGCTGATCTTACACTCGTATTATAAGTAACTGTAGATGCAAATCCTATACATTATGATTATTTATTAGTTGTATCATATGTAGATGCTATATTGTTGGAATATAAATGTTTACATACCTTGTGTTTCCTTTTGTATGGCTGCAGAAGAAGAAGGACCAGTTACTGTCTGTAAGGCTTCAGAATCACACTGCTGGGCTGGTATGTTACCTATTCCAGATCTCAATCGATTAAAAATCCCTTTTACTTGAACATCACTCCTATCTTGTTGGTTCTGTAGATTTGGATTTATGTTTTCATCATATAGCTGAGACCTAGAACGCTTTGTGTTAGGTGTCTGCATTACATTGTTATTTTCTTTTACTGTTTCATTTTTTCTTCTCTTCATTCTGAAAAACAAAATAGATTTGTTAGAAAAATAATTCCAATTATGTCATTTGTCAATGAACATGTTATATGTTGAAAGATATTAAAAGACTGACCTTATAGTTGTTTCTTTGCTAATGAGGCGAGTCGCTGTAGATTAGGATTGAAGGTGTAAAATGGTTATGTAATGATTGTAAAGAAATCGTCTCGGCCTGATTTAGTGTGATAGCATTAAACTGAAAAGATTACAGAATATATTTTCTTTTCCATATTCATAATAAAATCTAATTGATTGATTCTTATTTTTAGCATAGAATCTTGTATATTAATAGGTTAAATATTAAATTGGTCGTGAAAACAGTTGTTATACTGCAACAATGAACCCTTTTAAAACTGATTTATCTATACTGCTATACTATTCCAATTAGTTAACGATTTAGAATAGGAGATAGATTTTAATAGCTTACGATCTTTAAAATATTTGCACATATGCCCTTTAAAATATATGTACTTATATATCTCACATATTAATTAAGTTAGCCATTTATAGTATAGATATCGTCAGATTAGTATAGATTCATCGCAGTCTCTCAATGTTTGTTACTAATATGTGTTTTCTTTTATCTGCAGTGTTAGCTACAGTAATGGGGCTTATATATGAAAATTCATCAGTACAAAGCACAGGTTAGTATATTTTCTCTTTCTGTTTTGTGATCTTTAGTTTAAGCATAAGTTAGTTTATATTTTGCAAAGAGTTTCGTTTAAGGAGAAGCTTAGAGTTTATTGCTTGAATTCAAAATAACTGAGAATTAAATAGCACATAGCTGAAGGAAAAAACTAAATAAGTTTTGAAACTTGAACAAAAGAAAAAATAGAAAACTAATTGCTACAGCCAAGCTCCCTACATTATTCCCAGCCAGCACAACTTAATTCTTGCCACCTTCAATCTCTTCCTTCTCAATGTCACCAAGAAGGGAAGAGACACATGCCTTTTTAGTAGTAGAACCCTGACCTTCAATGTCCTCAGAAACTGCATCCATACTACGCTTAGATGAAGGAGTGGATGATGTAGGATCTAAAGGGTCAGTGGTTTCACCACTATTGGTCAGAGCAAGTCCTTCTTGTAAGTAAGAAAATCAGGAGAGTCAATATATAATAGATAATCTTTCATATAACAAAGTCATTAAATTATATAGTTATGAGTATCCATAATTTATTCCCTGACTTGAGTATAACTGATGGTACTCACTATTTAATTGAAACACGATCCAGCCCTTTAGTGATAAACTTGAATAACTTTTTGATAGATTGATTTTGGTTGCACCTACTAACATTACCTGATCAATAGAGAGGTCATTACGTTGGTCAGTCTGCTGGTCAGAATCTTCAATAGTATCTAGATTGTCAGATTCATTACCCAGCCAAACGGTTGAAACCTTGTAGGTATCATCAGTTTCATTGATGTTTTCCTTTCCAACAGTCACCAGAAACTGGAAAGTCTTTCCAACCAAATCTCTGATTGGCTGAGGCACGTTTGTAGGATCCTGAATCTGTTATGATAGATTGAAAAAAGTATATAAGATATTTGAATAATATGGTCTATATACATATTAACAATAAATTTGTTTACCTCATCCCACTTCCCTTCCAGCAAATCCTCTGCAGACACACCGATTATCTCTTGTGCACTTTTATCAAAGATAAGACATTTAGTGTCTCCAGTGCTATCCATCACTCCAACGTTTAAAAGATACCTACATATCAAAGGAACAGGAAAGTAGATTATGTACCTAGTTATTATCTGACAAATGTAGATATATATTAGCAAATCTCAAAGTCTTACCTTGGTATCACCTTAGGAGTGTCTTCCTTACATGTTGGACACCAAAACATTTCTTTCTTGCCTTTCTTGACAATCTCATTTTCAACCTTTGGAATCTTATAGGCAGTTTTGCTACACTTGAGGCAACTAAAGAAATACCAAGAATAGTCTGTGTCGATATTCATTATGGTACAAATTATGTTGCACTTTCCAGTCTATTACAAAAAAATAGATAATTAGTAGTATAGACAGAGAATTTAATAGTTTCTAGAAAAAATAATATTATCCAATACAAATACCTCAGCAAAACAAAAGAGTGCAGAGATGGTTTTCCTTGGAAAACGATCATAGTAATCCTTTTTTCTCTGTTCTGCATTCACTTGTTTTGCCTTCGAGTCTTCGATAGTCAGTGGAATAACATCCGGTGGTAAACTATTTTTAACAAATAAAAGAACACGAAATCAACTTTAGATATTATAAAAAGGATTAACAGTTATCTATATTAGTAAAAGAAATGTGATGTTTAAACATATCTTACTTGGCCACAAAATCAAGAACAGCAGGGTAGGTAGCATTGATTTCCAATAGAGACATATCAAATGAATTTAAAACAGCTCTTTCACCTACAAACAGCATGATATTAGTATTTTCACATATGTTCTGATTTCATTTCGATTTCAAAATCATCCATTATTCCCAGTAACAACATTCTATACCTTTAAATGAGTTGATCTTTGCAAGCCGAAGTAAGCATATCACTCTCTCAGTCCCTGCATTTTGACATGCATTATACATTGCCTCAGCAAATCTCCCCCAAAGAGTGCATTTCAGCCTTTCATCACTACAATACAACAAAAATATTGAGAAAGTTTTAAGTTTAGATGTATGTAAGATTAAATAAAAAAGGTAGATTCATGATAAAACTTACTTTGTGTCTCTGAGTTCACACTCAAGTCTCTTTGTGATCTTGTTATTAACATCATGAATTTTCATTTCATTGAAACTAACTACCTGTCCAAGTACATCTGCAAAATAAGAGAGTAATATATTATATTTTCATGAAGAAGTTCCTATTATAATAGAAAAAGAAAATATACAATGGAAAGTAAGATAGATATAGTACCAATTAAGATGTTTTCACTCAATCCTGCTTCATTCAAAATATCTGGAAAGTTTGCCAGATCCACATAAATGTCATCAGAAACAGAAGGAGTGCGACTTATCACAGTTTTTTCCATCATGGACATTTTGAAACCATGTTTTGTGGCTCGATACTTTCCTGTTGATTTGGTTAGCGTAAAATGCTCGATAATACGCCATTCTCCAGAAACTATGAACCTTTGCAGTTTGCTCACTTGTGGCTTCTTAACAGTAGCATGAATCAAAGTACCCTGGCAACAGATAAAAAGAACTCATGTTAATCATCCAGTGATATTGATGATTGATAAATGTTTAATATGTTTCAAAATGATAGTTCTTATACTTACAGCTGTATCAGCAAGAACCATTTCAACTGTCTCCCCGGTGAATTGAGTGTATTGTGTCCACGAATGCACAATCTTAACTTGAATTTTCCAATGTGTTTTGAAGGGCTTAATGTCAGCAAGAGGGGTGAATGCTTGAATAGCTGCCATTTTATTAGAGAAATAGTGAAGTGGTAATGGTAAAGCTTTGAAAGGTGAGTTCTTTCTAATGCAGGTCCCTATATTTATAGTAATCGTATGGAGCATTTAGTTTTATTAGGTTTTAGAGAATATAGGCCGTATAATATATTTTGGGATTAGGATCTTAAAGATATATGCTTGATTTAGGGAGATTTATTTGTTTGGTATATCAATATCGAACTGAATATGGATATTGTAGAGATTGTGTGAGTTTGAATACCAACTACTAAGGGAAATATAATAAGTTAGAATTCTATATCTTTCAATATAGAGAAATTTGAATGATTGAGTTTTGCATGTAAAGAAATTTTTTAAAATTGGCATTGATAGTTTGTGTTGATATGGAAAGATCTTTGCGAGATTTGGGCGATAATTATCGAATAGGTTACAATATTGTATCTTTCCTATTAATATAGGGTAATAGGAATTAATAAGTTTTGCATTTAATTTGCCGTCTAAATATATATTTTTACATTGGAATGAACTGTTTCCGGTGATATGGTAAGATTTTTGCGAGATTTGAGTGTAATTAATCAAAAAATTAATTGCTAACTTATTCCCGATTTAGAATAAGTAAAGAATATGCTTGATTTGTTATTATATGGAATAGAAATAAATACGTTTTATTTTAGGAAGTGTAAATTATGAGATTTGTTTGTTAAAGCAATATACAGAGTAGTTGATTGATCCGGAAAAATAGTTATGGTATTGTTTGATTTGTGTTGCTAATGTTTTTATTTCGTATTATCTATACAGATTCGGAAATTTGAAGTAAAAGGGATTAACGATGGGCCTGTAGGAAATATCTAAGCCCAATAGGAAATATAGAATCTCATCGGGTCAGATTCACAGACGCAAAAGATCCGAGTGTAGGATCCGGGATCCGCGTCTCGCGTGCGGGAATTTTACAATTTTACCCCTCCACGCAAATTTTTATTTTGTCTTTGAAATTTTAATTGTAATGGCATTCTCTTGTAATTATTTACACTTGGTAAGGTTATTTTTCATGTAATCCTTCCCAATTAATAGTATAGATTCAAAACCTCGAAATATCAGTTAAATGTGTTTATAAAAGTATATTTAATATTTTATAAATAAATATTTCCTAGTAAAAAAGATATACCTAGTATAAAAATAATAATTTACTTTAAGCAAAAAAGAAAGATAGTCAAATAAAATTATTGTTCCGCTATATTAAACTCTTGAAAATATATCCAATAAAATGGATAGAGACTCATGCATTCTTTCCATTTCAGTCTAAATTGTCAATTCATATGATACCTCAAATTCCACAACTATGATGAATATGTATTTATAAGTTCGTTCAATGAAGTGGTTGTAGAGTAAGATGGGTGTCTCCGCAATTAGAGTGCGTTGGCGATTGTCATGAGTTCGTTTGACTTAAATATTTATTAGGATACACAATGCAAATACTCTATGTTTTTTAGTTAAAATTTTATTTGTTTTAGTTGATCAGTTTTGCCTATCTAAAAGTAAAAAAAAAAGAAAATAAAAACAAATTAAAAAACATTTTGTAAAATGAATTTAAGTTACCATCATCCTACTTCGCTAGAGTCAAAACCTAAAAACAAAGAGAAAAAAAGGAAAAAAAAAGTTTTAAAAAAATAGAAAGAATACGTATAAGAAAGTTTTTGGTTGATTGGTATGTGTGACACTACTCTATAGCTCAACGGTTGGTTGGCGTTTAACAACGCCTGCCTCTCTGCGAGTTCGAGTAGAGTCATATTATGGTGGTGGTGGTGGTAGTGATATTGATGATGATGATGATTGATAATAATGTCGCTGATTAGAGCTTAAACTAATTAAACCCTAATCAAAACATATAAGGTATTATTAAATACTTTTTTTTTTCCTTAAATTGATTCATAAATGATCAAATTCAAATTGTCGAACAACAGAAGCTCTGGTGTTGAATCGCCAATGGCGTTGTTGCAGATTTAGAGAGACATTGAGAGCAATAGAGAGAGAGAGAGATCTGAATTTTTCTGCTCGAGAAGGAAGACGAGATCTGGATTTGGCGACGATGAGTTACGGATGGGCGATATACGAAGGCACGGTGGTTATGGCTTCACTGTGTCTTTTAGGCTGGGCTGGTTTATGGTTTCTTAATCGGAGACTATACAAAGAGTACGAAGAGAAACGAGCTTTGGTTCAAATCATTTTCAGTGTCGTCTTCGCTTTCTCTTGTAATCTATTGCAGCTTGTTTTGTTCGAGATCATACCTGTTCTCTCTAGAGAGTAAGTCTCTTCTCGAGGAATCCACTGTGTAGTTTTTGAAATTTAGCTAGTTTGGTGTCTTCTGGTTTTGGAGATTGTCGAAAACTTTGCTTATTTGTTGTCTTCTGGATTGTGTTACTTAGTTTGTCCTCTTTTGTTTGCAATTGCTTGATTCTGTAGCTTCTTTGTGCTTTTTACCGAAGAGTGTAGATTGATCGGTTTCGGAGTGATTGTCTTAAGAAATTGGAGTTTTCTGGTGTATGTGTAGGGTAATCTACTATATAAACTATATGGTAGCTCATCTTGTTCATTTTTCTATATCATGTGGAAACTTGATACTAGGTGTGACACATACGTTGCACGATATGTCTGTTGCTAAAGCAGCATAAATAGATCAATTGTGCTTTTGAAGTCTTTGTCATTGAACTTAATACTGATTTTGGAGGGACACTTGTAGCAATCGTTTAGTTAAACCTTGGATCAATCTTTCCATTATTTTGCAGGGCAAGGATGATAAACTGGAAGGTGGATCTTTTTTGTTTAATACTTCTTCTGGTTTTCTTGTTGCCATATTACCACTGCTATTTGATGCTTCGTAATAGTGGTAAGCCTCATCTCATCTGTAGATGCGATTTGTGTTCTATTATCTCATATTTATTGTTTAGAAGTTAATGGGTTTTATTTGTTTGTTCGCTGCTCATATTTCTTATTTAGAAGGTAATCGTTATAATTGGTTATCATTGTAAGTTTCTTAGGAGTTCCTGAAAGCGTTTTTGTTGTATAAATGCTAGTTAACTGGGATTTCTATAGAGAACACTCGTGTGCAGCTGTATAAACAGTCTAGGCTGCATCAGTTTTATCTTAGTGCTAGAATAATCGTGATCCTTATCTTTGGCTTTGTTGCTTCTCTTACATACACTTGTGAGTTCAACTAGATGGAGATAAGTGAATTTGAGAAAACACAAACACTCGTGAGTTCAACTAGTTGGAAATAAATGAATTTGAGAAAGCATCACTTTATTGCCTTATCAACTGTTGTATTCTTTGTTCTTTTCCTGATTAAATCTTAGACTACCAGTTCACTGCCGCATGTTACAGCATTTTGTGTGGACTGTCTGTAATTTTTTCAAGTTAAAATAACATTTCAGGTTTAAGAAGGGAGCGTGCCTCTGTTGGGGCTTTCTTATTCTTGTCAGCATTCCTTTACGCATTCTGGCGTATGGGAGTTCATTTCCCTATGCCTTCAGCAGATAAAGGTATTTATTTGAAACTACTGTAACCATTCCTCTCGTTCCAGCATCGCAATGTTGCTACTCATTTTTCTCTACTAAGTTCATTTATCCCTTGCGGTGAATTTCTGAATCCTTACCTAGTGATTATTATAAACTTTAAGAACTAAGCTTGGTACCAGTGTTACACCTAATTTAATTTGTGTATTGATGAATATGGCATATTTATCCATTGTTATATGCACCAATATATAGATAATACTGACTACTGAATATCTAGATTAGAGGGTATCTTGTTTGCAACGAAACGATAGTGGGAGCTAGATAAGATTGTATAGCATTACCTTACTGAAAAATATCTTCAAAGAAAAACGCTCAAAATGAATAACTCTTTATACTTTTCTTGTCTACTTCTGATCGGCACAAGCGTCTGCATCCAAACATTCTCATTTCTGTTTTGGATACTTAAGTTGTTTTGTTGTCTGTTGATGTTGTTGACTTGAAGATCCTATTTCTTTGAAGGTTTTTTTACCATGCCTCAGCTGGTCAGTAGAATTGGGGTCATTGGTGTGACCTTAATGGCTGTTTTATCAGGATTTGGAGCTGTAAATTTGCCCTACAGCTATATATCCCTCTTCATAAGGTACTAATATTAACCTCTATTTCCGAAAGCTACTATATATACTGTTCTATTCATGATTTCGTTTTTCTAGTTTATATTTAACCAACAAGAAGAGTGTTTCCCTATAGGGGCACCATTCAATGGGGCTACATGATAATCATACATAATTAGCACTGCATATTTATAGTGCCACCTGCATGTACTTCGAGGAGAAAACATAAAAATGTAGAATGATAGAAGAAAAGCGTAGGAGAAAAAAAATGCAGAATTGATGCAACAAATATGCTAAGAAACTGCACAAAATTGGAACTTATATTCCACAATTTGATCTTGAATGAAACAAATGGTGCTGAATGTTCAGTTGGGATATTTTTATAAGCTATTTCCAGAAGCTTGTCTAAACTTATAGGCTTTTGACTGGATTGGCAGGATTGTATAAAAGACATTTCTTTCTAACAGCACTTTTATTCCTCTCTCATATAGGGAGATTGAAGAAGCAGATATATTATCTTTGGAAAGGCAACTGATGCAGTCAACTGAGACGTGCATAGCAAAGAAGAAGAAAATTATTTTGTGTCAGTTGGAGGTGGAACGAAATCAAGGATCAGAAGAGGTTTGTTTTTGTTTTATCCGCATATGATTGTATTGTCTAATCTCATATTCTTTACGTTTCTGTTCTTGTATCATAGTTCTTATAAAAGCTTATGAACAAAGACTATTTCATACTTATGTGTCAAACTGCTCATTGTACTCTGAAGTCTCTGA